TTTATGCATACAAACGTGAATGTTGTTTCAACTCTCAGGTGAATGATAGAAATCAAACTTTATAATATGATAACAGTACAGTAAAAGTAAAAAGGAAGTCTTACAAAGTTATAGCATTTTTAATATGAGACTTGATATACAGGAGAAAATCATACAAGCTCTCTTTGATTTCTTTTTAAAATTCCTTAACCATGGTATGTGTCAAGTTTTACTACAACAAACTGCAATTCGTAACAATAATTTGAAAAATTAAATTCTTTGTTTTTAAAAATAGATAGTTCCGACAAAGTAAAAGTCGTATTAATTCAAATGCGAGTTGAAACGCGACTCACGATATTACTTAAATCGGCAAAACAAACCAGTGATCCTTTCTTTGACGAATGTTAAAAGAGATGGCTTACAAAGTTATGGAACATTGTTTATTAGTATCACAGCAAACCAGTTTGAACTTCCGTAATTGTTGACATTGCGAAGTAGAATAATGAAAACGGTACAAGCTAACTAAATATATTCATGAATACCAAAAGGGGAGGTAAAGGCGCTACAGCCTAGATTCCTTGTTTTGAATGAAATCCAAATATATCTTAAAGGAATATGCGATATATTTTTGTTTGGTAAAATGTGACCCTTTACCACCGACAGTTTGAAAACCTTTTTACCGGATCTTTGAAAAATCATTAGATTTTTTTTTTAAAGAAATGATTGAATGAACCAATTAATAATGTATCACAAAAAAAAATCCCAATACGTTTGTTTGAATCAGTTAATTGACTAATTTAAAAGACATCATATTCAGATCGTTGGATTTTCTTATATAAATGGTCAATAGCGGAGTTGAAATAATAAAATAAAATATAACCTACAAACTTTAATCAACTATCAATCCACCAATCTATTTCAAATAAAAAAAATGTCACAATTTTCTTTTGCACACCTTCAAGCCAATATTAAAACAAACATTTTTAAATTCATGAGGTTTCCACTTAATTTGGCATTATGCAATAGAGGATGGTCTAATGTCGCAAGAGATCCGCACGCTAGAACTGAGTGGTTAA